AATAGCGCGCTTCTGTGGTTCACTTTGATTGGAACAAAATTTATGTTGATCCGAACTTTTGCACTCCACATCTCTCGTGAAAAATTATATTTTATATCCGATTCAACTTGATTGGAAAAAGTGCACAACTTGATTGGAAAAAGTGCACAACTTGATTGGGAAAAGGTGTAGTGGTGGATGACCTAGTTGTGTAGTATTACTAAAGACCGTAGTCAGTAGCCACGAGGTTCGTGGCTCCTCAGCCCTCTGAAGCAATACAGTTTTGGATTTGCCTTACGAAAAGGTAACTTTGCGGTCGGAGCCGTGAAGGACGAACAAAGAATTCTTTAGTTGTTATCAGCTTTAGATGCCTCGAGAAGATTCGCCCGACGGCGACTACTCGACAAGAGACGAAGAGCGTTCGCGGTCGCGGAACCGCGACGACCAGCCGCGTGGGCGCCGCCAGGAGCGTCGCGACGTGGTGAATCCCTTTCGTTCTCCGAGAAGACGGCAGCCTCGTCCAGTTGACGAGTGGCAGCCAGCACGCAGCGGGTACGCGCTTACCCCGGCGCAGACCGACGGACCAGCTGCGATGCCATCCGTCGAAGACTCCGCTGCGACAGCTGCGGCCGATGGAGCGGCTGCTGCAGCGGAGGCGGACGCTAATACCGCGGGTAGAAGCGACCCGCCCATGGACGACGTTGACATGGGCAGCGACCACGGCTATGGCCGTGGACAAGTGTGGAACGCTCCGGCCATTCCACAACCTCCGACTTTCAAGGGATCGACAAAGTCGGAGCGGCGCGTTTTTATGCGCGAGTACCAAAAGTACTTGGCGCAGATCAATGCGCTCCAATGCACGGGATCGCGTCCGTTTGCGATGCCGGTTGGTGCTTGCATGGATCCGTTCTAGAAGCGGCGGATCGCCATGTTCGACCTGAACAAGGATCACAACCTTGTCACGGAAGCTGAGTGAATCGCGTGGTTTCACGCGGCGTTCGAAGAAGATCCGCAAGATCTCGACGTCCTGAAGAAGCGTCTATCGGCCGCCATTCGGTTCGACATGAAGATTTTGGACGCTGTGTCTTGAGTCTGTCGTATGTTGGACGACCTTATTCGTGTGCTGGAGCAAGACCATCAGGAGTGGGTGCTCCACCAGGAGGGCAAGATGGTTGTCGAGGTGATGGCGCGTGCCATCCGACCGGGATACGTTGAAGAGTGCTGTCCAGAAGCAGCTGCAGCTTCAACGAAACAAGGCCTTGAAGAGCGACGTATTTCGCTTTGTAAACTGGCTCCGGCAGTTCTCTGCCGGCTTCCAGCTTTACGTGGGGTTAGAAGAAGCTTCGCCTGCCCCGCCGAAGCCGAACATCACGGACAAGGGCGGCCGTGGCAAAGGAAAGACGGTGGCCGTGGCGACGACCCCAAGGAAGGCGGCGGGAGAATCCTCCGAGAATACCACTGGCGGCGAAACCTGATGTAGCGAGCGTCAAAGATGATTCGGTGCCAAAGAAGGAGCGTGTCGCGTGTTTGAAGTGCGGCGACAAGGATCACCGCGTGGCGGATTGTCCCAAGGCTGCGCCGGGCGAAGCGCAGCGTCTGCTAGACGCGATGGAGAAGTATCGCCAAGAACGGGTCAAGGTGTTGGCCGACAAGTCTAGTCGGCGCTCGACCAATCGCGGCGCCATGGTGGAAGGCGTTGTCCGTGTCGAGAACATCCTGCTTGACACGGGAACTGACGTCAACGTCGCTTCGCGCTGCGTTATAGATGCGTTGGTAGCGTGCGACGTCGCCGCGGACATCGTGGTACATGACAAGCCGCAGCTTGGCTTCCCTTATGGCGAGACAGCTGCGCCACTGATGATGTCGCGGCTTGCCACGTTTGGCAAGCTAACTCTCGACACGACGTGCGGCCCGCTGGTCCTGCGCGGGCTGAAGGCTTGGGTTGAC